CTCTTCGAGATAATTTTGATGAGAAACGAGAAGTGTGGGCCAGCGAATCACTAGAAAAAATGACTTATTCTCTGTGAAGAATGGAATGTTGAGGTTAACTGAGAAATGGCTGGTGAGAACTCACTAGATGCTGGGTTAACTGAGAAATGTCTGGTAAGAACTCACTAGATGCTGGGTTAACTGAGAAATGGCTGGTGAGCACTCACTAGATGCTGGGTTAACTGAGAAATGGCTGGTGAGAACTCACTAGATGCTGGGTTAACTGAGAAATGGCTGGTGAGAACTCACTAGATGCTGGGTTAACTGAGAAATGGCTGGTAAGAACTCACTAGATGCTGTGTTGACTGAGAAATGGCTGGTGAGCACTCACTAGATGCTGGGTTAACTGAGAAAGAGGAAATCGTTAGTGCCATGAAAGGGACACTCGGCTGTCTTCAAAGAGAAATTTTTGAAACATTTATTTGTTTTCAAAGTTCGGGTTCCTCCACGACGGTAAGGGGCTGTGTTATGGTGAGGGCAGTGAACTAAAGCAGAGGTGTGAACGTTTTTCTGAATTTTTAAGCTCTGATAGCGATGGACTTCAGCTGTATGAAGAGATTTTTGGATTGCAGCATTCATCTGTCAAGTCGTACTTACATAAAGATAGCACGACCTGTAAAACTTCTCAAGTTCATTTTTCAGCATTGGAGATGGAGAGTCTTTCCAAATCTTCGAATTTCTATTCAGAAAATGCTTACAATTGCAGTTTGCATTGCCAGCTGCGATAGATCTTCCAGTTCCAGTAAAAATGAAACTTATTAAGGGCATCTATGGACAAGACAGATTTTTATCTTGTTCTACTCAGCGTAGAAACAGAAGAAACTGAGAAATCTGACTCTGAGCTCATCATCATCATTGACCAGTTCACACCAGTAAAAGCAAAAAAAAAAAAAAAAAGTGTATTTGTAGTTTTAATCTTTTATCTTGTTCTACTCAGCGTAAAAACAGAAGAAACTGAGAAATCTGACTCTGAGCTCATCATCATCATTGACCAGTTCACACCAGTAAAAGCAAAAAAAAAAAAAAAAAGTGTATTTGTAGTTTTAATCTTGTATCAATAAAGTGTCATGATTTGCGAAAGAAAGATTTTTTAACTTTCTAACTAAATTTGCTCTGAAAAGAAATTAAAATAATAATTCATAACTTAAACGAGCTTATGAAATTAAATATAGGCCTATATAGTAAATAAGCAAACCATTTGTTTATTTGTTGTTGTTTGTTGTTGTTTTTTTCGTGTTTTTTTTTTTTTAAATTCTTTGGGTTTTTTTCTTAATGTACTCCGAAGTATTAACCTTTTTTAAAACTTATGAAAATCAATTTTGAGTTTATGTTTTTTTTATTAATCGTGTGCTGTGCTGGATCCAGAAAATGATCGATTCCTTGGCAATAAAAACTCTGGAATTTGCAAATAGTCTACTGATGTGATTATTAATTAAATTGTTTTTCTCAACACTCTCGGAGTTTAGCCTACCCTACGCAAATAACACAATTTTACAGTAGGCCTAAACACTCAGCATTTTTATTTCTCTATCCTTTGAATTTTACATTGAAAAGGCATCAAACAGACTTCCTAATTATGCACTACAAAGTAATGAAAAGTAACCCCAAAATTTAACAACGGTTACTTCGAAATAAAATTTTAAAAATCTAATGTGCGCCAAATACCCAAAGTACGCCCAGGCCCAAGGGTGGTGGGTCCAAAGAAGACAAACTATTAAATAAAATACTAATAGTATGCCTAATCATTATGGGAGGGGGGAAATATGCCTAGTGTTGAGCTGCGCACCGCCTGTAATTTGGAAGTTGGACAAAACAAAAGGCTAACATCTTTTGACGGAAGTTCGGATCATTTGAACTTGAGCGTGAAAATCCTGCTTAAGCTCGACTTGCTTTTTTATCGCTAAAGGTTGGAGAGTGGGCACGTCTCGTCGTGTTTGCTCATCACTCGGTGACGGGACTTAGCGGAATAGTTGACATGGCGACCCATAGCGACGATGTTTTAGGAAGTCTTGTTAGCATGTTACAATCTATTAGTTAAAATGTAAGGCTTATGTTGCGAAAACTAGTCTTATTATTACTTTGGCTAACTTTTTTTCATTTAGTCTGCCATGTGAAAAGGCCATCGTCTCTGACCTCTGTTCTGAGTGAATCGTGTTATCCCTGGACTAGGGGCTAGTAAACAGGTGAATTCATTTAATAGAAAAACGATGTAATCAAATATGCAGTTTGCACTACGTATCAAATATCAAAGCACAACCCACACCCACTCAGTGGAGCAGCTAGAATTGGTGACGTCCGGTCCCTGATTTTGCCGCCTTCTCAATCACGACTATCAATAAATATGGTACAGAAGTACATCAAAATTTGAAACTGTGTTGTGTATGAAGTGGGCCTAAAATGTCCCTTGAAAATGTACAGCCCCCCCCCCCCTCCCCCCTCCGTCTTCTCTTCCAACGCATGTGAACCGATTTCAATTTTTATTGCGTACCGGGTAATAGGCCGACATCACCGAATTCATTTTTTTTTTTCAACAGTACCTTTAACAACGGGTGTACTGAGAGACATCACTGGGGTTGGTTTCAGCTCCCGGTACTGGGGTTGGGGTTCTGTACTGAGAGACATCACTGGGGTTGGTTTCAGCTCCCGGTACTGGGGTTGGGGTTCTGTACTAAGAGACATCACTGGGGTTGGTTTCAGCTGCCGGTACTGGGGTTGGGGTTCTGTACTGCGAGACATCACTGGGGTTGGTGTCAGCTCCCGGTACTGGGGTTGGGGTTCTGTACTGAGAGACATCACTGGGGTTGGTTTCAGCTCCCGGTACTGGGGTTGGGGTTCTGTACTGAGAGACATCACTGGGGTTGGTTTCAGCT